GGCCTGAGATGTTCTCCAAACCCCTCGCCCCACAGAAGCTCCACCTCCCCACGACCCGTCCAATGAGACAGGCCGTCCTCAAATCCCATTGGCTCCCCCCAAGCTCCTCCCTAGACCCCATAACTACTTTCACTTCCCCTCCCCCTGTAGTCTGTCAAGCTCCGGCCACGCCCATCCCTCCAGAGGTCCAAGTCCTCTACACCACCTCCTGTAGCCCCAGGACGGGTGAAGAATGGGTGGAGCTCCTCTGCCTCATTTCCGGCTTCTCCCCGGCCACCATCGAGGTGGAATGGTTGGTGGACGGCGTCGCCGGGCTTCTGCCGGCCACCCAAACGTCACCGCGTCGAGAAGAAGGTCCAAGAGCCACCTTCTCGGCCACCAGTCGGACCAACGCCAGTCGCGTGGAGTGGTTGGAAGGGAAGACCTTCACCTGTCAGGTGAAACATCCGGCGTCGGGTGCGGTCGTGCAGGACCACGCCCGCCTTTGCGCAGGTGAGGACGCACAGAGGTTCCGTGGTCATGGTGGGATCAGCGGAGAAGGTTCCATGGTGGTGGGACCAGTAGAGAAGGTCCCATGACCATGGTGGGACCAGTAGAGAAGGTCCCATGGTCATCATGGGCTCCACCAGTAGAGAAGGTCCCATGACCATGGTAGTCCCACCAGTGAAGGTTCCATGACCATGGTGGGACCAGTGGAGAAGGTTCTGTGGTGGTGGGACCAGTAGAGAAGGTGCCGTGGTCATGGTGGGAGCAGGAGAGAAGGTTCCACGACCATGGTGGTTCCCCCACTGGAGAAGGTCCCATGGTCATGGTGGGCTCCACCAGTAGAGAAGGTTCCATGGTGGTGGGACCAGTAGAGAAGGTCCCATGACCATGGTGGGACCAGTAGAGAAGGTCCCACGACCATGGTGGTTCCACCACTGGAGAAGGTCCCATGGTCGTGATGGTCTTCACCACTGGAGAAGGTTTCATGACCGTGGTGATGGGACCAATGGAGAAAGTCCATGGCGGTGGCACCAGTGAAGGTTCCATGGTCATGGTGGGACCAGTAGAGACGGTTTTGTGGTGGTGGGACCAGTAGAGAAGTTCTCGTGACCATGGTGGTTCCACCACTGGAGAAGAGTCCATGGTGGTGGCACCAGTGCAGGTCCCATGACCATGGTGGGCTTCACCACCACCGAAGGTCCCACGATCCTGGTGGTCCCACTTGACCTTCTCCATCTCCCCAGGCATGGACAACCTCAGCTTCAGCAACATCGTCATCTACGTCCTCCCCCCCAACGTGGCCGACCTTTACATCACCCGCGCCCCCAAGGTCAAGTGTTTGGTCATCAACCTTCCCAGCGACTCCGGCTTCCAACTCTCGTGGGTCAAGGAGACCCCAGGTGTCCTCACCCCGGACTTCCTGGACCTTCATGAGGAGTTCAACGGCACCTTCACGGCCACCAGCACCTTGGCCATCTCCACCCAGGACTGGGAAGCTGGAGAACATTTCACCTGCATGGTCAACCACGAGGAGCTCCAGTGGCCACTCAAGAAGACCATCTCCAGGCGGGCCGGTGAGTTGACTTCTTTGTCAAAAAAACCTGCGGCGGTGTCTTCTCCTGTCCTCCACAACCACCTCCTGGCCTTCAAAACCTTCTCATGGCCTCCAAAAACCTTCTCCTGGCCTTCAAACCATCACCATCATCTTCTCTTGTCCTTCAAACCATCATCATCTTCTTCTTCTGTCCTTCAAAACCTTCTCCTGTCCTTCAAACCATCATCATCTTCTTCTCCTGTCCTCCAAAACCTTCTCCTGTCCTTCAAACCATCATCTTCTTCTTCTCCTGTCCTCCACAACCACCTCCTGGCCTCCAAAACCTTCTCCTGGCCTCCAAAACCCCCTCCCAATCACCACCACCACCTCCCGTCCCCCAAAACCACCTCCTGGCCTCCAAAACCTTCTTCCGTCCTTCAAAACCTTCTCCTCTCCTCCAAAACCATCTCCTGGCCTTCAGAACCTTCTCCTGTCCTCCAAAACCTTCTCCTG